CAATCAATATTTCATGAAATTTGATTTTTTTTTGTATCTCGCTCAAAAATTGGTGTTTTCTATTGAAAGTATCTAAATTGGACCACCCGTCCGTACATACTCACATACATATATTAAATCAAATGCTCTTCTCTAATTTGTCTATTTATCTATGAAATTAAGTAAACCAATGACCGAGACACAATTTGCTTGAAGAACATTCACATTTGTTGTTAATAATATACATTTTTGCAAATTTTAATGCAGTATCAAGCAAATTGTACTTACTAATAAGTATTAAGTATGTATAAATCCATTTTTTTATTATAAGGGATTGAAAACAAAAATAGTTAAAACGTGTTATCTGATAAGAAATCAAAACAATACAATTAAATTTTGCCTGAATTTACTCGGGATACTTTGCTGTGAAGTCCAAATTAATAATAAAAATTCCTTTTTTATTAGTATTGAATACAATATGACCTACTTACTGAAAAATTATGTAGGTACTTTGTTTCTTCAAAATGGTTCAGCCACGGTTCCATCAGGATTGACATTTTCATTTGAAGGCACATCAGTAATATTGCGTTTTTTCCTTGATTTCCCTTTAGTAGAATCTGCATTATTTGCAGTTGCCTCCTCCATAGACACAGTTTCCAAAGTATTTTTTTCAATCACTGCTGGAGAACTCATTCCAACACCAAACCAACTTTTGACTTTGTCTAATAAAAATGCCATTGTTACTGATTTTCAGGAGAAATTTTATCTCAAATAATTGGCACTAAAATACTTATCAGAATTATTATCACCGATTGGCTGAGTAAATTGATTTCGTATGCACTATTTTATTGTTACAACGGATGGGAAATAAACTTTGCTAATAGGTTTATTGATTTATTATTTTTATTATTTTCGATTACGTCATGAAAAGTAAATAACGTGTTGTAGGTGTTACTTTATACAGCGTGCGTGTAAATAAAGGTAAGTATTTTATGTTAGTGTTTTTTTCGGAACATTGGTAATCAAATACTTAGGTACTTCTATGTAGGTACCTTTAGTTATTTTAAATTGACTACATTACATGAGTCTATTTCACTGGATAAAACAGGTCATTAAAATCGTCCATCAAGCTCATGATCGGCAAAGCTCAAAATAAAAAGACAGCTTTTCAGCGGCAAAAATTTGACATAAAAAAAAAAAAAATATGATATCTATAATTATAGAAAAGGATATAATGGTGAATTGACAACATAATTCATCATTCATCATTCATCATCTTTAAATAAAATGCAAAAAGTCCACTTTTCACTGCTCTGAGGTCCTTTATTACAATGTTACTAGTTTTTGGATCTAAAACTTAAGTATACCGGGTGACAACGAAATCGTTATACAAGGCGTCATTCAGTTATCTTTAAATTTAAAAATTTGAAAATCGGGTCGAACGGGTAAGTCATTGGGACGCACACTTTTCATAAAAAAACAATTAAATATCACTTCCAGTTACTTTGGAAATCGACCCAAGTCAAGAAATTTTTATGGAACCCTGTATATTTTTTTACACAGTTGGATAGAGCTTAAAATTCCCTTTTCAATGACATATGATAAGTGGGATTTGTTTTTAAGATGTCGGCGTGAGAAGGCACTTTCTTAAATTCAATATGGCGGCATTCTCACCTAGCCTTTGAATACCTAACCGAAAAATGAATATATGCATTTTGGTAGACATTTTTCGGTAGACCATTGGACACACTTTAATTCTAGAATTTAATAAGTACCTCTTCCTATTCAAAATTCTTAGAAAATTTGAAACTAAAATTTGCATTTCAAAGAAATTTTGAAATGCCCTTGTTTTTGAGCAAAATCCTTTTTTTTTTCAAATTCGATCTAACACCATTTCAAATCTAAAAATTGATTGATGAAAGTGTTTGTTTGACAGAAACATTATCGGTTACGTCAGAATGCCGCCATATTGAATTCAAGAAAAATACCTTCTTACGCCGCCATCTTGGAAACAAATGCAAGTTGTGATATGTCATTGAAAAGGGAATTTTAAGCTCTATCCAACTGTGCAAAAAAATATACAGGGTCCCATAAAAATTTCTTGACTTGATAATATTCAATTGTTTTTTTTACGGAAACTATGCGTCTCAATGACTTACCCGTTCCACCCAATTTTCAAATTTTTAAACTTTAAAGAAAACTGAATGACGCCTTGTATAACGATTCCGTTGTCACCCGGTATATCAGTATCATTCACATAGGGCAAGGTAGTGGTAAGGTAGAAGTGATTTATGAATTGAAGATCAAGAATACTTGACGCGTACATTTCATACCCTCTGTTCACATATAATTAAACTTGCTTTAGGGGGGTAATAGCGAAGCAGTGGTAAGGTTAAAGATACCAAGCTCCAAGCTTTTTGGGGTAAGCCTGTGGAGAATTCTTACCTAAGCCAATCGATTTTCAGACAGTCGACTTCTGCCATTCTATTATGTTGTGGTGAGGTTATGTTCAATGTTTAGTTGGATTTGCGAAAGTTGAAAGTTCGTTGTTTGTTGTGTCTTGCCCACCCTATCCTATGTTTTTTCTGGATGTATTTATTTAAGTTTTCTTCTTAAGATAGCGGGTAAAGCAGCCAAACAAGTTTATTTTTCTAAAATAATTCTTTATTACTAACCAAGCTTTCGATACTTTTTTGTATCTTCTTCAGGGCTAAAATTATATTAGTTAAAATTATAAAATTACAAAATTATTGTGACTTACTTGTAAATGAATTATTTAAAATAAAAACTGCATAGATAGGTATAAAATTTGTATAAGGAATATAAAGTTGGAATTGTAAAGTTTTTTTGAAAAATTTTTTGTTGTTAAAACAAAGTCTTTTGTTATAGGTAAATTTTGTGCTATTTATGTTTAATTTTTAGTTTTTCATTTCTGGTTTTTTTAATAGTTAAGGTAAAGGTTATAATTACGAGTTTATTTTTCAAATTGTTAAAATATATGAATATATGGAACTTAAATCTTGAATATCTGTTCTTTTGTTCATTGAATTTTTTTCTTTGTTAATTTCAACCATCTCAAGGAAAAGTCTTTTGTTTAAATTTGTTTGTTGGTGTAAAATTTTAGCTTCATTGAAATTTATATTCTGTCCTGTTATATAAGAATGTTCACTAATAGCTGATGAGTCTTTTTCTAATCTGATGTCGCTTTTGTGTCCAGAAATTCTATTTTTTAAATTTTGTTTAGTTTGGCCTATGTATATTTTATCACAATTATTGCATGGAATGGAATATACGATATTTGATTTATTTAGATTTGATGTTCGATCTTTTAATTTAATTAACAATAAAATTATTCCTGAACAACATATACTGATAAGTTTAGACGTTAAATCAATTTTCACTAACATCCCATTAAATTTAGTGAATGATAGTATAAATAAACATTGGGTTAACATAACAAATAATTGTAATCTTACTAAAGAAAAGTTCATTGAATCTATCGAATTTATTTTCAACTCAAATTATTTTTCTTTCAATAATAATTTTTATAAACAAATTTTTGGGACACCAATGGGTAATTCTATATCACCAATTATTGCACAATATGTAATGGATGATTTAATTGATGATTGTTTGAGGAATCTTTCATGTGATGTTTTCTTTATTAAAAAAATTGTAGATGATATAATTTGTTGCATTCCTTGTGATAAAACCGACGAAATTTTGAACGTATTTAATAATTATAACCAACATTTGAAATTCACTATCGAAATAGAAAACAACAACACAATCCCCTTTTTAGACACACTAATAATTAAACAAAATAATACATTAATAACAGACTGGTACAAAAGCCAACAAATTCACAACGTTATTTAAATTATCATTCTTATCACAGTAATCAAATGAAAGTTAATTTGATATTATAGGAATGAAAAATAGAATTCAAAAATTAGTTCATCCAACATTATTTCAGAACAATCTCATTAAATTAAAAAATATACTTTTGGATAATTCATTTCATAAAATTATTTTTAATAATAATAATAGGTATAAAAATATCAATAATAATCAAGAAGGAAACATCAATAATAATATAAACAATAATATTTTTTATTGTTCTATACCATACATAAAACAACTTAATCCTCAAATTAAAAAAATATTTAGTAATGAAAATGTTAAGATTGCTAATAAAAATATAAAACCTATTAATAAACTCTATTCTAAATTAAAAGATCAAACATGAAATCTAAATAAATCAATTATCGTATATTCCATTCCATGCAATAATTGTGATAAAATATACATAGGCCAAACTAAACAAAATTTAAAAAATAGAATTTCTGGACACAAAAGTGACATCAGATTAGAAAAAGACTCATCAGCTATTAGTGAACATTCTTATATAACAGGACACAATATAAATTTCAATAAAGCTAAAATTTTACACCAACAAACAAATTTAAACAAAAGACTTTTCCTTGAGATGGTTGAAATTAACAAAGAAAAAAATTCAATGAACAAAAGAACAGACATTCAAGATTTAAGTTCCATATATTCATATATTTTAACAATTTAAAAAATAAACTCGTAATTATAACCTTTACCTTAACTATTAAAAAAACCAGAAATGAAAAACTAAAAATTAAACATAGATAGCACAAAATTTACCTATAACAAAAGACTTTGTTTTAACAACAAAAAATTTTTCAAAAAAACTTTACAATTCTATCTTTATAGTCCTTATACAAATTTTATACCTATCTATGCAGTTTTTATTTTAAATAATTCATTTACAAGTAAGTCACAATTTTGTAATTTTATAATTTTAACTAATATAATTTTAGCCCTGAAGAAGATACAAAAAAGTATCGGAAGCTTGGTTAGTAATAAAGAATTATTTTAGAAAAATAAACTTGTTTGGCTGCTTTACCCGCTATCTTAAGAAGAAAACGTAAAAAATCCAGCCGTTATCCCCCAATCCTAGTATTTATTTAAATTTAAAAAAAAATACAATTATGGATTGTTTAGACCGAAAATTGGCCGAGTTTTTGCCGAATTACTCGGCAATTTGGACTGATACCCTAAACGAAGACCTTATTGAGTTCCAATTCGAAACATTTTTGGATCTGAACGATGACAATAGCAAGATGTCAATTATGGATACTGAAGAGAATGATGAAAACAATGAAATAATTTATATACTGGAAGAAAAATCTTCCAAAGGATGTGCTTCTGAAAATATTGAATCCACCAAATGGTCCCGAACACCACTAAGTACAAAGTCACCTAGTTTTTGTACCCCAACGACTTCATCAGGGAACTCTTCGAAATCTTCTCGGCAAATTGAACCACTAATTAATAAGTTGGTACAAGCAGCAGAAAAAGTGTTCGAGTCCGATAAGCCAGTGGCTATAACATTTTCCAATAGTACCAGGTTGTCTGATTTTGCTAAATATTTGGCTGCAAGCTTAAATATGCTCGATGAAGAATTGTGTGATGATGATACCATGACTGAGATGGTTGTCATAGTAAACTCATACAAAAAAAACAACGTCCTAGAAACTCATAAATTTAAATACCATAATTTATCTTTTGAATTTTTTGAAATTAAATGTTAGATATGATTTTAAATCTCTTTTTATTTTGCCACATCAAGTTACATCAAACCTCTAGGGGTGGTGAATGAAATCCCTACAATCTCAAATGGGAAGGGAGGTTGAGTTATACCTCATTTGATTGAATGTATGGGTGCAGGCTAGAAAGCTGATTATATTTTGATTAAAAATACAAACTAGAACATAAAATTGATGTATTTTTATATTTTCTTTTCAAATGACACTCTGTATAGAACTTGTACTTAAAGGTGAGAGAAGGTTATAAGAAACAAAATTGCTTATAAGTACCTATATTGTTTATTATTTCCAAAAAATATTTTTAAGCTACAATTTGTAAAATTACTGGACAGTGCATCTACTGTATTCACATAATTTTTTATATGATATGATCTCTTATTTTAGTGGCATTAGCCCTTGCATTTCTGGCCCCTAACCTTCTCCTAATTCTTTGTAAGGATGTATTCTCACCTATTCCATATCTGGATTTACTAGGAATAATATATCTCCTCCCTCACCCTCACGATCAACAAAATGGTTGTTGCAGTACCTTTCAGATTTGTGTTCCATAATATAATTGTAGAGACAAAGAGTCGCCTTGACTATTTCGTGTACTGTGTTAGGAAAAGCATATACAGGGTGTCCCAAAAAGATACCGACAAACTTTAAGGGGTAGTAGGGGACATCAAAACAAGCATTTTTGTTTATATAAACATATATCCGCAAATGAGCCATTTGGGCTGTAGAGCAAAAAAACTGTTTGATACTTTTAATTCTTCGCAATAATTCAATCACTGTTTACTTATTAATTTTGCTTTATAAACAAATAAATTATGGTTTACAATAATTGTTCAACTCGCGAACTCTTTGGAATATCCCGGGAATAGCTTCTACATGGGTACAACTCGCCAGTATCCTTGCTATCAGATCTTCCTCATTACGAACAGGTGTTTCGTAGACTAAACTTTTCAGTCAATGACCCGACGGTGTAATTTTTGCATTGAAGTAAATGGTCAACATTTTGAACAATTATTGTAAACCATAATTTATTTGATGATAAAGTAAACAGTGATTTAATTATTGCAAAGAATAAAAGTATCAAACAGTTTTTTTGCTCTATAGCCCAAATGGCTCATTTGCGGACATATGTTTATATAAACAAAAATGCTTGTTTTGATGTCCCCTACTACCCCTTAAAGTTTGTCGGTATCTTTATGGGACACCCTGTATAGTTTGATGGAAGATCCTCCAGCGAGATGCTAATAATATATCGAAGGCATTTTCAATACAACTTCTTGCTCGACTCAACATATAGGTGAATATTCTTTTATCTTCTGGTAAGTAATGCCTACTGTAGGGTCGCATTATTTCCCTTTTTAAAGGAAATGCTTCATCTCCAACAAGAGAGCAAGATATTGCTGTCTATGAATGCGGTAATGGCTTATCATCGAGTAAGTTCAAAGTCATACTTTCCATGTGCCTTCCTAGTGCAATATCCACCCAACACTCTGTGATGCATATCGTCGCTAATCTGACAAAGGGGCGTAAGGTACAAATTGATAATTTTACAGGATTGCCATTTAAAAAAAAAGGTTGTTAATCAAAAAGCTATCACTCTGTTCGGTTATATATTTTTCTGTGCACAGATATTTATCGAGGCAGATAAATTGTCATAGACTCAAGCTAATATAATAGATTTTCCATATCGTTTAGATGTTATACAAAAATTAGTACCCAATGGACATACGCCCCTTTGTAGGATCTTCATTAAAATAATTATGACACATACGCCAGTATGATATTTATGCCAATATTGTATTTATAGCTTTTATTCTAATTAACATACTCCAGGAAAAACGGGGATAGAAATTGAAAAATAAAATAAGATTCAGAGTATACGGAAACAAAGGTAGGTACTCAAATAACACTAGTTTTCGTGAGGAAAATCTCTAAAAGATTTTTGGAAAGTTGGGACCTTCACTAGTAATGTTGGTCCTTTACAAAAGTCCATAAAACACAAGCAGATTATGGAGAATAAGGTGAAACAACTTAAAGGTAAATTCTTAATGGTGGAAATTTGAAGAGTTGGGTGTCCTAAATAATATACTAAAAGTCCCATCCAATCTGACAATGGCAAGTTTTGAAAAATCGCGACCATTATGAATTTTTGAAGTTTTTGGATTTTCTTTCAAAACATCAGGATTTTTTTAAAAAATTTGAAGTCAGGTACATTTTTTCAGCGTATTTCTTTTGATTTTTTGAAATATTCTTTATACTTTGTATTCAGTTCACAAAGTTTAAAACTTGATTTGCAAGTATGTTATCTAAAATATCCTTAGAGCAGGTAATTTCCTAGGTGGGAGGAGTAGGAACATGGAGTTGGAAAATGAAGCAGTTTTTTTCCAGGTATTTTGAGATCCAAAATAATGGCGGTATAGCTAATCTAATTTAATGCTTTATTTGTCATTTTTGGTGTACAAAAATCTGTGAAAAACTGGCTTCATTTTCAGTTCAATAGCAGAATGGCCCGTTCCTACTCCTGGTGTCCGTAGGACAGTCTTTACCTGCTTTAAAAAAAATATCCATGCCATATTGCTCAAGACGCTAACATGACTATAAATCGGTCAATAAATAAATGCCTACTAATACGATATCATTACTCACGAATGGGAATCTCTATGGTGAAATCTATATTTGCAAATCTGCATTTGCAAAAATGTTTATTGAGCTGTCATTTTCAAAGATTTCTGTTGGATGTTTCTCATTCTCAAGAACTTTTGGTAGATTTGTTATTTGGTTTCTGAATCTCAAACATTTCTGTCGAATGTTTTCTAATTCACGTGAAGCATTTATTAGCGTGGTTTCTCATTCTCAAAGAAGTCTGTTGAGTTTGGTGGTATTCTTGAGAATCTGTTATTAGTTTTTAATTTTTTTCATTCTGAGGAATCTGTCGTAGTTCACCATTCTCAAAAAATAAAAATCTCTGTTGAATCTGGCTAGTTTGTTTTTTATTTGCAAAATAGCTATTTTCCTAACGAGTGCGGAAATTTCTTCCCGCAAGAGTTAGGAACTATATTTTTTCTACGAGCATACCAAAGCTGATGTTCCGAAGAGTTTAATTTAAAACTCTTCCCGCACTGAGTGCGGGAAGAAATCTCTTCCCGCACCGGTGCGGGAAAAAAGTCTTCCCGCACAGCAAATCGTGCGGGAAAAAAGTCTTCCCGCACAGCAAATCGTGCGGGAAGAGCCATTTCCCGCACGCTCGTAGAAAATAGTTATTTTCCTAACAAGTGCGCAAAGTGTTACTTTTCCGCACGCAAACACAGTTATACGAACGACGCGAAGCGGAGTTCGGATAAGTGTTACGTGCGGAAAAGACACTTTGCGCACGTGTTAGGAACTAAATTTTTCCTACGAGCTTCATATCAGGTAGGTAACAACCAAAATTTAGAAAAAAAAAACAATAATTTGTTCAATTATTTTTAATTAACTTGAAGCGAACCTATGCAGTTATCAAAAAATTACATAAGAAGAAAAAAAAAATAACAGAAAATCATCGTCAGAGCCCTTTATCTTAAAACGTTCAAATTTGATGAGAAAGTTTGTAAATTCTTGCATATCAATAGAGAACAAATCTGACAATGCGTCAAAGTTAATTAAATTTGGTGTTTGTATAGATGTTGGCTGATATAGAAACAGAGGAAAAATTTGTCATCATGTGTCAACGTCGACAGGTGCACTTATTGTTGCTTGACAATTATTTTTACTTTTCGGCACTCAGTGCGGATAAGGCCTGTATCCGCACTGAGTGCGGAAAAGTGCAACTTTGAGAACCGAAATGCGTGCGGAAAAGTACTACTTTGCGCACGCTCGTAGGAAAATATCTTTTGAGCTGTTCTTCATTTTTACAGATTTCGGTTGAATGTTTCTCATTCTCAAGAATCTTCGTTAGATTTGTTGTTTGGTTTCTGATTCTTAAATATTTCGGTTGAATATTTTCTCATTCTCAAGAATCTCTGTCGAATTATTTGGTGTGGTTTCTCATTTTGAAAGATGTCTGTTTTGATCGACATTCTTTAGAATCTGTTATTAGTTTTTCATTATTTCATTCTGAAGAATCTATCGTAGTTCCCCATTCCCAAAAAATTAAAATCTCTGTTGAATCTGGCTAGTTTGTTTCAAACTTGCAATAATATCTTTTGAGATGTTTTTCATTTTTAAAGATCTCTGTTGGATTTTTCTCATTCTGAAAAATCTTTGGTAGATTTGGTTTCTGATTTTCAAATATTTCGGTTAAATGTTTTTTCATTCTCAAGAATTTCTGGCGAATTTATTGCGTGGTTTCTTATTCTCAAAGATTTGTCTGTTGAATTTGAGAATCTGTCATTAGTTTTTCATTCTGAAGAATTTCTGTTAAATCTGTCATAGTTTCCCAATCTCAAAGAATCAGAATCCCTGTTGAATTTGGCTGGTTTGTTTTTCATTGGCAAAAATAATTGTTGAGCTGTTTTTCTTGAAGATCTCTGTTGTTTGGTTTCTCACTTTCAACAATTTCTGGTGAATTTCTTGTGTGGCTTCTCATCCTCAAAAATGTCTGTTGAGTTGGTTGTCATTCTCGAGAATCTGTCTTGTAGATTTTCATTCTAAAGAATCATTAGCATTAGATCTGTTAGCTGTTTCCCATTCGCATAAGTATGGCACTCTTTTCTATTTATCGTTTGCTTGCGCTTACTACTTCAAGGCCCAGTTTATTCATCTTATAATAAACTGTTAGAAAATACAATCTCAGGGATAAAAATTGGGCCAAAATAATCAATTCAAGTCAAAAAAGGTTTGAAGAGAACCCAACTAAAAAACAACACAAACCTACTTAATACAAAAATCAAGAATAAGATCTAATTATAGTTTTTTTTTTT